TGTTGGTTCGGCTGTTATTAGTGTTTAAGTTGGTCTTATTTGTGTCTTATGTTCTTAGTTATTGGGCCTAAACCTGTTTAATGTTTTAATTGTTTATTTGTCTAGGTGTCCCATCACTAATCAGGGGCATTCTAGTCCGTTCATGTAATATTATTTTATAATCATCTATATAAACTTGTTAGGTCGGCTGAAGAGTTTAAGTTGCCTCTCTCAGATCTTCTTCTTCTTCTTCCTCTCCCTCTTCTTCGACTGTTGTAATCCAGCAAACATAGCAATCACCACTACCACAGTAAGTGCTAATATGGTTGAAATACAAACCTAGTAGTCAGAGAGCACAGAAGAATTTCAGAACATTTATTTGGAACAAGCATTATTCACTACATTATAGCCCACAAAATATATGATCAATTTGTTCTACATTTCTTATACCTTATTTCTAATAATTAAACATTTAAATTGTTAGTCTTTATTTGTTTAACATTCACAATGTATTTCCTAAGAGTATCCATGCATATTTAAAAATTTTCCAGTGTTCCCACATGTATCCATGTCTATGAACATGTATCCATACATCCTCTAAAATTGACGTAGGGATAGTATACTGATTTTATATGACTCTGAACGTTGTAAATTCTCTTAATAAATAAAACACACAAGAAGAGTTTATTTACCTGAAGTTTATCTGATCCCCCTGTTTCATGAGAAACAAATGAGACTCTTGTTTCATATGCAGGTAGAACTTTTGGCTCATCTTGACTGCTATGCTTTATAAAAATATCTTCGCCTATTCTGTTTGTAAATGTCATAAATGGTCGGACAGAGATTACCTAAAGAGGAAAAAAATCAAATATGAATCTCCATATAGGAATTCCTCAAATCCTTAAAGTTTTGTAACTACCTTTGTAGGAATGGATTGATAAGGGCATGGTTTAGAGGAAATAAAAAGCCGGATATAATTTCCATCACCATCATAAGCATAAAGATCCATTGATCCATCCTAAGGAGGAAAAACAAAAATAAATAAATAAAATGAAATTATTACTCCTTAAATCCACCATATAAAAAGAATTGATGTRATCTGCAATTTAGGATAATACCAACCATGTCACCAAGAGGAGAAAGGTCTCTAACAGGTCCAAATTGTTCCTTTCCAGACTGACTGATAGATACTGAGAGGCCGACAAGTTTACAGTTCATGACAGAATCAATCGTATAACCCTCAAATATTTCCTCTTCAGTGATTTCCTCAAGTATTCCTTCATTGTTCTGCTTTGACTGAAATGGGAGAGAGAAATTTCGCTTTTGCCTTCTTCCTCCTCTATCAACAAGTCTATATTTTAGCGGTGGGCATCTGGCACTTGAAATCCAGTAAGGAGCATAGACTCTAACAGCTTTTGCCACCACTAGCTGTTGTTTGTCCTGGTTTTGTTCAAGAATGATTTGAACAATCCTGCATAACATAAAGGTTATGAGATTAAAGAAGAGAGAGAGATGGAAGGAGACCTTTTCAACATGTATGTGCTGGTTATGACAAACCTTCCAGAAAATGTACTTCTTAAACTTATTGTTTTAGATGGAGCCCCACTAGGATGTGATATAAGGACAGTTTCCTGGAAAGAAAAACATGGATGAAAAATTCCAAATAAAAAAAGAACAAGATTGTATTAAAGCAGCAAGAATCAATGAGGGCATATTAAATTTCAAAACTTACATGTACTGGCCGCCATCCTCTCTGTGGAAGAAGGGAAAAATACAAAGGATTCCTTATATCAGCATTATAAACCTTTACAGTATTTCCTGGTAAAAATATTCCTTGAAAGGAAGCAACAAACTGACCATTTCCTTGCACCTCAAGAACAGAAAACTCTGCTGGCAGTGGGAGAAAATTAGTAATAGATAACGGAGATTTAATTACGAGGTTCCAATCGTGAATAGGATTTGAATGGATATCTTTTCCTATCTCTGTGGATTGTATGCTCAAACAAAACCAAAGTCCCTGAGAATTATTTGAAGAAGTTCCACTTATTTGGGTGCAATGCAGTAGTTCCTCAGACTCTGCTAGAGTTGATACACAAATTTCTGAAACTTCTTTTGGTTGGCTAGAAAACTCTTTATCCACAACTGAACTCCAAGAATATTCATTAGGATTATCAGTGCTCCATGGCCTTAATTGCATGATGTACCGTCCTGGATGTGTCAGGCATGACAGAGGAAGAGACATTGTATCTCCAGGTTTCAATAACCCGACAGATATCTGCTGCTTTGCATCACCTGAGATGCGTGTCCTGTTCCGGATCCATCTCCTTTGCCTTGCATAATTGACAAACTTTAAATGATTATATGAATCAGGCCATTTCAGATGTTCAAGGTCTGGAGCATAAACCCATCCCTCAGCAGTATTTACTGATGAATTGTCAACATGCCATTCATCAATCCATTCCCAACCTGGTGGTAAATCAACTTCTGAAATCCCCTGTATTACAAGAGTTGGAACAAATAATGTGCTCATTAAAACAGAGGCAGTTGGAATTTGGAAACAAATTAAGGGTGAATTTCTTAAGTAAATCACTGGACCAAAAGGCTTCTTGGCCAGCACAATGGAGTTATTTTTGAACAATAGGGTATTATCATTCATATAAAGATGTCATAGAAAACACCAATCTGAAGACATAGCTATTATTAATTTATAAGTGATGTTTTCATTCATATCAAGAATTTAATTAAGATTAATTCTGGTCTGATGAGTAAAAAGAATGATTGATATGAAGAAAATAACGGTTCATCTAGGGCTTGTCCTCAAAGGGAAGGCATCAAAATGACACAGAAAAAACCTATCTGAAGTAGTTCTCAACTTGGAGGTAGAGCTTTAGAGGAAGAGAAGCAGAACAGATGGTAGATTAAAAAGGGAGAAGTTAAGACAGAAGAAGAGAATAACAAACCAACTAAAATAGGGCCATTGGTTCCCTTCAATTCTACTTATAATAAAATAAACAAAACTACAATACCACCCATGTGGTTGGGTGGTGTCTGTGAATACTGCCTCCCACTTCCACTTGTTCTGATGATTGGGTGGTGTCTGTGATTGCTTAAGCAGAAGAGGGAGCTCAAGGAATGATGAAAGATTGAATGATGGCAGCCTTAGGAGTGGTTGTGCAGGATTTTGGAGAGTTGGAAGGGAAATTAAAAGTTCTAGATGCGTGATTAGTAGGTAGATTTCTCGACTCAGATCTGAATGAAAGAGATGTTTGAGAAAAGAAGATGCAGAAAATGTTCTAAGAGATGAAATAGAAAGAGGATTAGATACCTTGAACTGAGGTTAGGTCAGAATGTCTGCAGATTTTTTGCTTGTAGGGAATCTCATCACATTTCTGGGATAGCACTTCATGCATGTTGTACCCAGACTTTCAAAGCAATAGGAGAGACTTGCGGAAAGTTCAGGAGATATGACTTCCAAAATTGAAGGTGGGATGAACTCCAGTTTGCTCAATTTCTGGTTGAGACAGGAATTTCAGTTGATCCTGTCAAAGTTAGATTTGTTCTTTCCTAGAGATTTGTTCTTTGCTAGATTTGTTCTTTGCTAGGTTAGCAATTGAAGGAGAAGAGCCTACATTTGGCATTAGAACGACAGTGATGGAAGAGGAGTTGTAGGGAGGCGATGGGGGAATGAGGATGTGGAGAAGATTATTGTCCTGGAAAAATTAGAAGAGGGAAGAGAGGAGAAGAGAGAAGAAGAGAAGAAAGAAAGAATGATAGGCCAAAGTTCTACTGCGGTGCCAGCAGTAGTTTATATACTAGTGTTAAATATAGTGTTCAGAATATACCACCACCACCATACCAAAAAGAAAATGAGAAATAATTAATAGAAATCAGAAGTAAAAGAAAGCCTTGTATGAGCTCAAAAATAAATTTAAAGCATGATCTTATGTACCACTACAGTAAAGGCAATGACTTAGCCAGTATAAATGAGAGCTATCCTTAGAGACTACATGATTAGATTCACAAATCACCTGATGAGAGCATCCACCTCCAGAGTGATCATGTTTAGATTGAGTGAAACAGCCAACCCAGCCAATGTCTGGGTTGTACTTCTCAGTTTCAAAGAACACATCTGTTATGATGTTATTGTTATTGATTTCTTTGTCTTCACCTTTGCAGCCATCACTAGTTGACCTTTTGCTTTCAGAAGATGCTTTAACTTTGAGACACAGATCAAGTACAAAATCTGTGTTGTTGCTAACAGAAACCAGAGAACGAATATTTACATATCTGTTGCCGTCTTTGACTCTTACTTCACTTGCAACAACATCATTGCCAAACCGGCAACAAGCTGCAGGTGCAGCATAGTTTAGTTTCATGGTAGTCCAAGGCCCTTGTTGGGTAGGACTGATTTGAATGAATCCAGGTTTCCTTCCATTACTTAACATTTGCATATCATTTTCAACTTCTGACCTCTGTGAAAGTATTACACCACATCTTATTCTCCCATGAGACTCCTTACTTTTATCTTCTTCGGTCATATTCTGCACAACCAATGCAATGTTATTTTGTTTGCCCAATAATGCTTCTAAAATAAATATATCTACATAGAATGCAGCCAATAGGATTATCAAACCCTAAAGGATGGGAACATAAAGAAGAGCACAAGTAATATGAAAGAAAACATTTACCAATGCTTGTGGTGAGGATAGTTCTATCCAGGACAGTTCACTTATACAATCATAAGAATCTGAATTGTCATCAACCTTACTTGCTATCTGCTTCAAAGGAGCTGAATAAAATCCAACAGGTGCACCTGGAAAATGAAACTCCATGTTATTTAGAAAATGTCAAAATTTGTTACTTTAATATTTATATTATATCCTGTGACTTCATATCTATCTAGGTTTTTTCCTCTTTGCTCTTTTATACATCACAGTACAACTCTCTAATTTTAGTTCATACAATCAAGGCAGTCAGGTTTTAAAGTTTCTTTTAAATTTCTCCAAATAATCTCAGTACCTGAGATAAGAATGTAGTGGGCAGAATTATCAATTATCAACATCAATATGCACATTTCATCTTGTCTTTTGGCCGTAATGTCTATCAGGCAGCTGACTCTTTGTTCCCCTAGTTCCTCCAATTTTCTGGTGTTGCAAAAGATCTCTTTCTAGCAAAGAGAGGTCTAAGGCAAGGTGACTCCCCTAACCTCTTTCTGGTTTACCATAATTGCAAATATTCTTAGCTGTCTCATTTCTAGATTTGCTAGGTGCAGAGTAATTAGGGGGTGGAGGATGGGAAGAGAAAAGATAATTGTCTCTCACTTGCAGTTTGTAGATCTTGTCCAGAAGCTGAAGTGAAGAAAAGAGAGAAGAGAGAAAGAGAGAGGAGAAAAGAGAGATCTGAGAGCAAGAAGAGTTGCTGGCAGCACCAGCTTTTTTGGTATTTATATTAGGGCGACCAAACATAACATAAAGAGAGGGGAATTACTATAGTACCCCTACAACACTAACAGAAATAAAAAAGCAAAGAAAACAACTTATAAACGGCCTTTTAATACTCCCCCTCAAGTTGGGACATAAATGTCAATCAAGCCCAACTTGTCACATAGATCATTGTGCCGCAAATGATGTAACCCTTTTGTGAAGATGTCCGCAAGTTGATCTTCGGACCTGACATAGGGGGTGCACACTTCCCCTTTGACAACCTTTTCTCTGATAAAATGCTTGTCTACCTCAATGTGCTTGGTTCTATCATGCAGTATTGGGCTAGCAACAATGTTTATAGTTGCCTTGTTGTCACAATATAAAGTCATAGGTCCATCAACTGTAAATCTTAGCTCACTCAATAGATTTTTTAGCCACATTATTTCAGCCACTCCATTAGGCATTGTTCTATATTCAGCTTCAGCATTAGATCTAGCCACCACATTCTACTTTTTGCTTCTCCAAGTGACTAGGTTTCCTCCCACAAAGGTACAGTAGCCACCGGTAGACTTCCTATCATCCAGTGATCCTACCCAATCTGCATCAGTATACACTTCAACCTTCAAATGTCCGTGCTTTTGGAACAATAAACCTGCACCTAGGAATTTCCTAAGATATCTGAGAATTCTTTCAGCTGCTTCAAGGTGGGTTGTCTTAGGGGCATGCATGAATTGACTAAGAACACCCATTGCATAAGCAATGTCTGGCTGAGTCATGGAGAGATATAGCAGTCTCCCTACAAGCCTCTGAAATTGCTTCACATCTTTGATGAATGCACCTGGACAATCACTTAATTTGTGATTAGGATCAATAGGAGAATCAACGGGTTTCACTCCCAATTTTCTTGTATCCTGTAATAGATCTAGGACATACTTTCTCTTAGAAATGAAGATACCCTTTTGTGAGCGGGCAAGGACAACTTAAATTCCAAGGAAGTATCTCAAAGGACCTAGATCTTTCACCTCAAACTGAGTAGTAAGAAATCCCTTCAATCTTTGAATTTCATCTTTCCAATCACCATTGATAACTATATCATCAACATACACTATTAGGGCTACAATTTTCCCTTCCCCTCTTTTCACAAACAATGTATGATCAGATTGACATTGCTTGTAACCCTTTTGTTGTATAACTACTTGGAATCTACTGAACCAAGCTCTTGGTGATTGCTTTAGGCTATATGATGACTTTTTTAACCTGCATACCTTTTGTTCATTACCTTGAGCTCGGAAACCAGGGGGTTGTACCATGTACACTTCTTCTAGATCACCATTTACAACTGCATTCTTGATGTCTAATTAGTGAAGGTCCCAATCAAAGTTAGCAACTAAAGAGAAGAGAACCCTAGCGGAATTCATCTTAGCAACCGGTGCAAATGTTTCTGCATAATCCACCCCATACACTTGAGTGGACCCTTTTTCCACTAGACGAGCTTTATACCTTTCCACTATGCCATCAGCTCCATGTTTCACTGTAAATATCCATTTACATCCAACTGGTTCTTTTCCCTCAGGAAGATCCACCAATTCCCATGTACCATTTTTATGTAAAGCATTAATTTCTTCCTTCATTGCATCTGTCCATTCAGGCAYCGAGAGAGCTTCTGCCACATTCTTAGGAATAAGAACACTGTCAATGGAAGAGAGGAATGCCCGAAAGGAAGGTGAAATGTTTTCATAAGAAACAAAATGGGAAATAAGGTGCTTGGTGGTGCAAGACCTAACACCCTTCCGGTGAGCAATAGGAAGGTCAAGGTTATCAGCACTGGAGGTATCAATAGCAATAGGGTCAGAAATATCAATGGGAACTAAGGTACTTGGTTGGGTAGGATCTGTCCCCGGAGAATTTGATGGCATTGGTGGTACAACTTCTAGATGCTCCACAGCTCTTCAACTTGGTTGTCCTTTATGACGACGACAGAAAACACAGAAGGGAGGAGGATTAGGTAGAGGAGGGGGCTGAATCTGAGGTAGAGGAGAATTCTGAACCTGTTTGTCCTCATGCCTACACTCTCCCTAAGGAAAAACAAAGAAAGAAAGGTTCACTCTCAAAAAAAGAGACATCCTTGGAAACATGATATTTCCGAGAGACAGGATCAAAGCACCGGTACACCTTCTGATTTGTAGGGTACCCCAAGAATATGCAAGGAATAACACGAGGATCCAATTTCCCATGAGTGGGTGACAGGTTTTGAACAAAGCAACGACAACCAAAACCACGGAGAGGAATAGACAAAAGAGGAGCCTTGGGAAACAGAAGCCAATGTAGGGCTTTGTACTCTAACCTCCAAGAGGGCATGTAGTTATTGAGATAGGCAACACAAAGGATAGCTTCAAGCCAAAAACGATTGAGGACATTCATATGAATCAATAATCCCCAAGCTATTTCAAGAAGATGGCGGTTCATTCTTTCAGCAACACCATTTTGTTGTGGTGTTTAGGCACAAGAGCTACGGTGGAGTGATCCACGTGAAGCAAAGAACTCCATAAGATCATTATGGTAGTTTCATTGGCATTATCAGATTGGAAGATTTGGATTTCAGTTTGAAATTGGGTAAAAATCATTATTTGGAAATCTTGGATAATTTTTGGTACTTCATCCCTAATTAGCATGGGATACACCCATGTGTACCTGGAATAGTCATCAAAAAAGGTAATAAAATACTTGTAGCCACTTTCAAATGGTAAAGTAACTGGGCCCCATACATCAGAGTGAACAATATGAAAAGGAAATTCAGATTTATTATTCTTTGAAGAAAAATGAGTTCTACAATGTTTACTCAACTGACAAGTTTGACATATCAACTCTAACAATGACACTGACTTAAACAACTCTAGAAATACAATCTTTAAGGAATCAAAGGATAAATGACCAAGACGACTGTGCCATAAATAGGCCTAACTCTTACTAGATTGACTCTTAGACTCTGTGACTGCAAGACCAGCCTTATTCTCCAGCAAGTAGATACCATCCACCATACGTCATCTACCAATCATCTTCATCGAGGCCAAATCCTGAATCACACAATAAGATGGGAAGAAGGTTACTGAACAGTTTAAAGTATTGGTTATACTACTAACAAAAAAAAAATTAATAGGGAATTGAGGAACATGTAAAACATTAGAAAGGGTAGGACCAAAAGGAAGAGAAATGGTTCCTTGACCAGCTATGGTAAAGAATGAACCATCATCTAGTCTCACTTTGTCTCTTCCAAAGAGAAGATGAYAGGTCTGAAAGTAGGTAGACTTGCCAGTCAWGTTTTGACGCTCCAGAATCAATTATCCAAGGAGAGTCAGAGGAATGAGACGATACATGGAGAGTTGTGGTAGAATTACCTGATGTAGATGCATATGAAATTGATGGAGGAGGAGCATCCATTTGGCGAATTGCCCTACCATAAAGTTCTAAATGGTCACGGAAGGAATTAATGATATCCTCCCTAGGGTCAGAACCAGAGGTGTATGTCTGAATTGTAGTATTAGGGGACTGGTTCTCCTGAGTAGCCATGTTTTCTGTAGTGAATTTCTTGAACCTTGCTGTCCTAACTTCTTATTCAGATCTGAACCCTATTTATTACTCAATTCTTGAGCCCAATTTGGCTTCCCATGAAGGCCCCAACATGTATCATGAGTGTGTTGAGGCTTCTGACAATGGGTGCACCATAATTTTTCTTTGTCATCCACCCTATTTTGAGAGTCTCCCTTCTTAAAGGGATTTCGCCCACTTGTAACTGCATCTCCCCTAGAATCATTCATCAGATTTCTTCTACTTTCCTCTGATTGTACTAGAGCATATACCTCTTGGACAGATGGGAAATCCTTGCTTCCAAGGATCTGCACTCTAATGGATTCATATATAGGGTTTAGGCCAAAGAGGAAGGCAAAGATACTCTGTTGAGAAACAAGAGACATATATGCTTTGGCATCTTCATCACATTTCCAATCTACACTCTGATAGTGATCCAACTCTTTCCAGATGGAAGACAACTCTAAGTAGTACACAGAGAGACTCCTCTCCCCCCGTTTGCAAGTAGAGGATTCTGCCTATAACTGATAGATTTTTGCATAATGTCTCAATTTAGAATAGGTTGACTTGGCTTGTTCCCAAATCTCATAAGTTGTTTCAGCCCACATAAAATTTCCTCTCACCTGAGGTTGCATAGACACAAAGAGCCATGACATTACCATGCTGTTCTCCTGGTTCCATCTGTCATGCTCAGCACTCCCTGAATTAGGTTCTCTAATTCTTCCATTATATATCCTATTTTTCCTCTTGCAGTAATGTATAGTCAGATCCACTTCGACCATTCTAAGTAATTTAGACCATCAAG